GTAGGATTACTATACCAACTTCTAGTCCGTAATTGGTGCAATGGAAATAGTTAGAAGAAAATATACGCAACTCGATATGAAAACACATTTACCCCAATAGTATGCATCTAGTTTTGTTTTGGACAAAATAAATAAATAAATAAAACAAATAATAATAAAAAGAAGGGCATATTTCTATAACTCATCATTGGCCCATGTTCAAATTGACCCAAAGACTAGCACATTTCATGTAATACTCTAAGGCAGTGTTTGGTTACACGCTTGTACTGAGCTTCATTAGTTCCCATACAAGTGTTCTGTGTTCTGCTTTATCTATGTGATGAAATAAGTTTTATTATATTGTTTGGTTGATTTATATTACAATTATTATAGAGGGTAAATTCCAATTTTACTCCTCAAATGCAACAGGCCACATTTACCAAGTAAATCTACAACAAACATTGGGTATTTGTGTAAATTTCAAAGTAAATAAAAAAAAAAAAATCATGGATAACACATTCAACCCTCGAGATGTGATATGTTATAGTGGAAAAGAGTGATAAAAGATCGTGCCATGACAAATTGTAAGGACTTAATTTGTTTAAACCAAACAATATCACGTGAATGAAATGTTTGGAAATTTTAACCTTATGCGAAAACCGCTTTACTCCAGGAACATTCATATCGAATAATTGAGAATCAAACCGAATAAATGTGGAAGCGTACCGTACTTCATGAATTCATTTGCTTGATAATTCTCGTGTGTTGTGTTCTTCCAAACGATCTTGTTGGACTGGTATGGTCTTCCAAACGATTGAACCTTATAGCAGATTTTGATCTGTAGTGTTTGTATTGGATATATGATTTTGTTATATTCAATTATTCTGAAGTGAGAAGGTGAGTACTTTTAAAGGGAGAAAGCACCCCTTCATAAATCTGCTCGTGTCTTTTCGTCGTTTGGGGCCATAACCAAATAAATAAGAAATATTGATTTTCAGTTCGGTCCCTCAACAAACAGAAAATCACATAATGGTATCTACACTTTTAAATCCATAACAATTTGATACTCTCTTTATTCAAAATTACAAATTAGTAGATCATTTTAATTGAATAATATTATGACAACTATACACATTTAATTTACATATGTTGTCCAATAAAATATTTCTAACAATCTCCCACTTGGACTACATATGCAACCGAACAAATGTGTACTACTTTATGAGCTCAAACTTTGTTGTCACAAACAAGAGTATCCTTTACCAATCTCGTCCATTAATCGTATGACATAGGACTAAAGAGGCCTTCATCATTTTTAGCATGAATCAACCCATCAATAATCACACATATCAATACAATTAAATGACATAGATCAATCATGGAAGTGTAGCATGAAAATTACATGTAATGTGATCTTTCATGCCTATTTTCAACTGGCCACTTTATTCCATAGTGAGATCAATATAAAATCAAAATTACAGAGTATATTACACCGAATACTTTATATCTGATCAGAAATATCCAAACACACATATACAATATGTCTATAGAACAATTAATACAGACTCCCACTAAAACCAAGTATCCTGAAATTGTGTCACACCCATTCGAACAGTATGTTCATGAAAGACCTTGGGTATTAGACCTTTAGTAAGCGGATCCGCAATCATTGAGTCTGTCCTTACATGTTCTATAGCAACTTGTGCACTCTGTACTCTTTATTTTATAACTAGGAACTTTATGTCGATATACTTTGACTTAGTTAAGTTCCTACTGTAATTGGAATATAATACTGCTGAATTGATGTCACAATAAAACTTTAGTGGTCTTTCTACGTTCTCAATAATATGCAGTTCAGTGACATTTTTGCAACTATATTCCATTATTGGATGTCTCATAACAAGCTACAAAATCAGTTGTCTTGACATCCACCAAAATCAGAATCAATATACTCGATGACCTCCAAATGATCTGATTTTCTGTAAGTGAGCATGTAATCTTTAGTTCTCTGTAAGTATCCTATGACCCGTTTGGCTGCTTTCCAACGATCTATACTAGATTTACTTAAATATCTATCTACTATACCAACAATAAAAGATATATATAGTCTTGTAAAGACCCGAGCATATATCAAACTCCCACTGAATTTATGATACACACAATGATCAACAGCTTTTGTCTCAAAACCAAATGAGATTACTACCTGATGAAATTTATGGTACCACTGACGAGATGTCTGTTTGAGTCCATAGATGGATTTCCTTAGTTTACAAACCATTTTCTTCGGGTCATCGACCTCAAAACTTTCTGGTTGTACCATATGGATCGTTACATCAATGCCGCATTGAGAAACGTCGTCTTTATATCCATCTAATGAAATACAAGATCAAAATGTGCTATTGATGCCATAAGACCACTTTTCTTTCAAGTCATTATTGACTTTATTTTCTTGAAGAAAGCATAATCATCTGAAATAGCATTCCTTCACTCTTAAGTGATTTTCCTTAATGGCATAAGTTATTGAGGTTGTTGAGTTTGTTCATCCTGGATAACCAAACTAGCTTGAGTTGAGAGATTCTTGACATTATCCTGTTGAGGTTCCAAATCTACTTCTCGACTTATTATAGGAATAGAGACCTGCACATTGTTAGAAGCAGTAGTAGAAATCGGAAATGATTCTTCCTCAAAGATAATGTCCTTAGCCTTATTTCTCCCCCCAAACTCAACATCCTCAAATATACTTCATTTTCTCATCTCATATATAGATTTTTAGCGGGTTCAAAAAATTTAAAACCTTTAAGCTTAAGAATGTTGTTGGTATCAGCAGAGATAGAAGTACCATATATCATAACTTAACAGAGAATAATAATAACTTAATCAACATACTCACATCAATCATACAATTTTAAATAAGCTTAGTAACATCTCAAGGCACCCAACACAACATCAATATTAATTTGTAAGTGGTCGCCTTTGTGTAGTAATCAAATATTGACAAAATTCCTGTCAAAAAATAGTCTCTCTTTTGAAAGAAATAATATTCACATGGATATAAACCATATATTGTCATATATTTACCACCACAAGTATTTATATATTTCTGCCAAATGCTAATCTTCCTTTGGGCCGATTAAACAATCGCATGAAACTATACAAATACAAACATCTAAAATTCTCGACAAATAAATCTACACAAGAGAGGTCATTTTTGCAACTTCTTGCTTCAATAAACTCATCGTGAATATTAGACAAATTATAATAGGAATATGAGATGTATCAAAACAAATTTAAACGAAATGATTGAAATATTTATTTATAGATGTGCAATCATTAAATTAATTTACTATGTATTTGTACAACTAATAAATAAATAATTAACAGAATTCAAAATTTCCTGAAATTAATCTCAATTGAATTTAACTAAAGTGAATCCTTAATATAATAATCTAATCACTTATCAAAGACTCTGATCAGTTGATAATACATATTAACCATAACAATGAATGAAAACCAAATTAACCCAATGGCTGCTACCTTGACACGAAACGGCACTTCGGCCACCAATTTTGGATCAATTCCCTTTTTTTTTTTATTTACGAANACAAAAAAAAAATAAAAAACAGCCCAGATTTCATGAAGTAACTCCATATTATCCAATGAACAAAATGCTCACTAAATTCATTTTTCGAAATCAGACTATTATAATTAAAATTAAGCGTGCGAATTCAGAGGCATTATTGGGCAATTGATAAGTTCCCAATAAATCCTAAACTCAATTGCTTCAAATAATTAAAAAACGTACAGAACCACTAAGTTTAATTGTTCAAGAAGTAAACCTTAATTCAACCAATCAAACATGTAGTACGTATGCACAACCAGTTCTCAAAATCAATAATTTATGTTAACCTGCGCATGCCTTTAGTAGTTTCATTTTGAAATTTGATTTCACAATTCAATAGGTTAACAAATTGGAATTGCACACAAATTAATTAATTCTCTCAATAAACTAATAAGATCAGGGCACTAACTCAAATAACTTGATAATTGATGGATCATGAATCCGAAATAGCAAATTAAACTCATAACCGCATTCATCAAGTATATCTTGGAAGCCCAAAAAATTAATAATCTAAAACGAATAGTTTCGTTAAGATAAAAACAAATAATCAATTTATGCAAGCTTGGTGAATATAAAAATCGAGGCTCAACAAATCCCCTTAATTAATTTTCACATGAATACGATTCACATATAGATCGAAAATAATTTGATTCTCAAAAATCAATATGAAAAGTCTCTGATACCACTTGTTGGAAAAATTTTAACCTTATGCGAAAACCGCTTTACCCCAGGAACATTCATATCGAATAATTGAGAATCAAACCGAATAAATGTGGAAGCGTACCGTACTTCATGAATTCATTTGCTTGATAATTCTCGTGTGTTGTGTTCTTCCAAACGATCTTGTTGGACTGGTATGGTCTTCCAAACGATTGAACCTTATAGCAGATTTTGATCTGTAGTGTTTGTATTGGATATATGATTTTGTTATATTCAATTATTCTGAAGTGAGAAGGTGAGTACTTTTAAAGGGAGAAAGCACCCCTTCATAAATCTGCTCGTGTCTTTTCGTCGTTTGGGGCCATAACCAAATAAATAAGAAATATTGATTTTCAGTTCGGTCCCTCAACAAACAGAAAATCACATAATGGTATCTACACTTTTAAATCCATAACAATTTGATACTCTCTTTATTCAAAATTACAAATTAGTAGATCATTTTAATTGAATAATATTATGACAACTATACACATTTAATTTACATATGTTGTCCAATAAAATATTTCTAACATGAAATATTATAAAAGTGATATCATGCCTATAAGTCTATTAACTATCAACCAAACGCAGCCTAAAGAAAAGAAAAAGGAAGACCAAATGTTTGACGAGCAATACTGAGCATATACTACTTTCTAACTGAATTAAGGCAACCTCAAACTTGTCCCTATATTTTGAAAGTAAACCAGTCAAAGCCAGTATCCATAAATAATCCATTTAAATTCAATATTTTCTTAATTACAGTCACGCGTAATGGTAAATAAAGAGCATATAGCAATTGAAAAATTGAAAAAAGGAAATATTTCGTTGCTATTTTTATAAATTGTCTCAATTTGAGGTTCATTTTTTATTTAACTTCTCGAGGTCCAACTAACTTTATTTTTTGACATAAATATGTGAACCTTAATATTAATTTTTACAATCTATATTTTTCTTATTTATGACAAAAATATTAACTATATTTAACAATTAACTTAAATGAAAAACTTAGTCCATATAAATTATATTTATGCAAGAATTTACTGAATTTTATTTTTAAAAAATTAATAAGAGAATTAAAAATATATAATTTAAATATTATTTTGATTAATAATAAAATATGTAACAATAAAATTCAAGTCATAAATCGATCGATACAATTCAAGAAGTTGGGTGATGTAATTAAATTTCCCCATCGAAAAATCTATAACATTTGCCTTCAAACTTCTTCCATTTTTTTTTTCTCTAATTTACAACACAATGTAAGTTTTCTAATGCCAAAAGTGCCCCTGAGCGTGCTTCAAATTACACACACACTCGGCACCTAAAGAAATATAAAACATTCCAAGGACACAAGCGGGTTTTCTAGCGACTCGTCGTTCGTCGGCGGGCACCGCCGGTCACCGCCGTCCTTCCTCTCCTCGCCCACTTTCCGATCCCTCTCTCCCAACCCGGATCCCACCCGACCCGGAGATTTGCCCCTTTTCCTCGCAGACGGGCTCCTTCCGGGTCCCGATCTCACCGACCCGGTTTCCGTGCGCGCCGCCGGAGACCTCGACCGCCGACCGGAACCCTCCCCGCCGTCTCTTCTCCCGTTCCCGGTTCTGGACCGGCCAGGCGAGGGATCAGACCTCCGACCCGGTGACCTGCCGACGCTCTTCTCCCTTTTTCCCTCGCCGGTGGATGACGTGTTCCGGCGCCTCGCCGGCGACATCCGCCGGGGATGCTCACGAGAGTCCTCTCCTTTCTCCTCTCTATTCTCCGCCGGATTCGTGCACACGCTCTCGCACTCGCCGACCGTGCTGCAGATCTCGGAGCCGAAATCCTCGAACACGTAGGCGCCGGCGCCTGCGCCGGCCAACGCAACGTACGGCTTAATGCAGGTGGCGCCGTTCGGGTGGCCCTTGCCAGCGTTTGCTGACAGCAAAGGCGCGTTTTTTATGAACGGGCTCTCGCACTCACGGTTTGCTGCTTGGGCCCGGCCCGCCTGGCCTGGCCGGATCTTGGGGACCGTGCGGATCTCCGAGAGGACCTCCTTGACCGTTTCCTCTTCCATGGTAGGTGGTGATTTGCTAATATTGCTTTTTTTCGGGGTGGTTTTGGAATATTTGGAAGTTTGGGGATGTTTTGGGGAGGGATTGGC